GCTAAAAAAAAAAAAAAAAAAGTTATTAAAAAGGAAGGAAATTCTGATACATTCTGCAACAAGGATGAATCCTAAAGACATTATTCTGTAATAAATAAGCCAGTCACAAAAAGAGAAATATAGTATGATTCCACTAACATAAGTACCTAGAGTAGTCAAATTTATAAAGACAAAAGGTAGAACAGTAGTAACCAGAGGCTGGGGGTAGTGGTGGGAACTAGAAATTGTTTAATAGGCACAGGATTTCAGTTAGAGATGATGAAAACGCTCTGGAGATGGATGGTGGTCATGGTTACACAACAATGTGAATGTAGTGAATGGTGCTGAATTGTACACCTACTAATGTCAAAATGGTAAATATTATGCTATGCATATTTTACCACGATAACAAGGTTAAAAAGTAAAGTAAATAGCTAGAATATAATACCATGAAGTATAAATAATATGAAAGAAAATAAAGCAAGCTTAGCGAATAGAGGATGGCTGGGTGGGACTGATGAAGACAGGTTTCTTTGAAACAGGAATACTGGAACAGAAGAGAAAGAGCCAGCCAGTGACACAGTGGAGGGGATGTCCAAGCTAGAAGAATGTCAAGTGGAGAGCCTGAGGCAGGAGTGGTCTTGGTGTGTTAAAGGCAGCAAGGGGTCTGCTGTGCTTTTGTGGATGCGTGTGTGTGTGTGTGCACATGCACATGCACGTGTCTGTGTGTACAGTTGGCATGCACAAACATGCAGGTGCATTCCTGGGTATCTTTATGTTTCTCTACTGGAAACAATGACGTATCACATGAACCTACTTATGGTTGCCTTGGCAATGAGAACTGCCAAAAAGGACAGCAATTTGCAGGAGAAATGGTATAATATTAAAGCAAACAGCTGCTGAATAAAGTACCAGAAGCCCCTGGGAAATGCTATGAAGAGTTTAGTGCAGCCCTAAGCAAAGTTGTTTATAGAAATGCTAAGAAGAGTTTAGTGCGATCCTAAGAAGAGTTGTTTATTAATCTGGGATTGAAAGCCAAGACCGCACTGCCCCAGTGTAGCAGGTGATTGGGCCTTGTAGTTGCCAAGTCCAGCCTCCTTCCTCACCCCGAGGCAACTGCCGGAGCCCCTGGCCAGAGGGCCAGCTTCCTCATCTCTGCATCCTTGCTCTGCAGAAGCCCCAGTAAGCCCTTTCTGGTAAATGGATCTGGAGTACTGGATTTGTCTAGGGGCTTGACTTGAACTTGGAGGACTAGAGGAAGTTTTCTGGTGGGGTGGAGGTGGGGAGAGGGCAGGCAGAAGCCATGCAGGGTGTGTCTCTTTCTCTGCTTATGTTGGGGCACCTGTGACTTTCCTGGATTTACCTGGCCATTTGAAAATGAGACTGCCTTCATTTTCAAAGAGAGCCATGAAGGATTAGAGCCACAAAGCTGGGCTACCAAGGTTTCCTGAGGAAGGGCAGCTTTGAGAGACAGCTTTGCAAAGGCAGATGAAATACTAAAATTGAGAAACGGTCAGGACAGTCAGGAAGGTGGTCTAATTGCCAGGGTTTTTCACTCACAGAACACGAGAAAGTCCTTCCAGGATCTGGAGCGTGATCTGGCACCTTGCTAGGGACAAGGTAGTGAGAGGTTTCCAGAGAAAATCCTACCCCAGGTAAGTCTCTCTTGCATGGGAAATAAAACCTCAGATGAAGCAAACTCATGTTAATTCTGGGCTGGGCTCATGACTAATAGTGACTCTTCCTCTCTGGGTCACCAGTCTGCAGCTCACTGCCTGCCACTGAGTCAGTGTTGGTTAATGGGCCCTGGAGGACACTGGTCTGCCCAGATATGAGGATGGGATGTGGGTGACAGATGGGACCAAGGGCAGGAGTGGGGAGAGAAGGAGCTCCTACAGGCTCCTGGGTCTGTATTCACTTCCACTCCCTAAGCTAACAGACATGAATGTGATGGAAATGTGTAGGTCCCTTTGCTCTCACAAATGACATGGGAAGTATGCTCGTGACCTCTAGTCGTAATACCAGAGGTATGGGCGCTCGTGACCCCCCTCCCTAGGGTCCCCACTGCATGTCGTTGCACCTACCTTTGTTAAAATATTAATCACACAGTATCAGATGATTTACTTTTCCAAATCCCCAGTAAGGAGGAAGGAATGGTTGACCCATCTCTACATCACCTCTGCTCAGTACAGGTAATAGGACAGATGAAATGTTTGGTAAATACGTGTTGATTAGCTGAACGAGCTGAGAGAATCTTCCTTGACTTTCCGCACACCAAGGTGAGGACCATGTCTCTGTTTCCATCGCTTTCTGTCCTTCTCCTGAGTGTGGTGACAGCATCTTGCTCAGAAACAGAACCCTATGACAACCTCCCAAAGACCTGCCCTGTGATCACCTGCGGTTCTCCAGGCATCAACGGCTTCCCAGGCAAAGACGGGCGTGATGGTGCCAAGGGAGAAAAGGGAGAGCCAGGTCAGCTTGGGCTGTTCTATCTCTGTGACTCTTGGCCATCCAGACAAAACTGCCTGGGGATGTGAGGAGAGTAGTGCCCTATGTATGCAGGTTGTATTTCTCTCGTCTACATATTATAATTCACAACAGTTATAGCTCTGACTCTCTAGCATCCCAGACTTCCACATAGGACTTGGTGATACATGGTTATCCTACCTGCTTAGGAGTGAGCCCTCAAGGCAGGCCACCCCATGGGACATAGGAGGATTTTCTTCTCTGGGTCATTAGAAGCAGTGGCTTAGAAAAACTGGTCCTGGGTTACTGTCTCCTTTCTCCTGGGAAGGGTCTAGGCATCAAACTCATGGAGAAATGGAGCAAAATCACAGATATCGACTTATATTCCCTTTGTCTTCCAACAGGCCAAGGGCTCAGAGGCTTACAGGGCCCTCCTGGAAAGTCGGGGCCTCAAGGAATCCACGGGTTTCCTGGGTCGCCAGGAATAGCAGGCCAAAAAGGAGACCCTGGGACATGTCCAGGTAAGGAGCTTACCTCAGCAAGGTCTAGGTTAAGGACACCCTGAATCCTGGGACTTTGGGGACCAGATGGGAGAGGTCCCTTCTCCTGCTGCCATGGGAAGACGCTCAACTCTGCTTTCTGACCCAGCACACTCAGCTCTTTTTAGATTACTTAGCGCCTCAGAGGATCCCCACCCGTGCCTGCATCCAGTCTTATAGACCCTTCGGGGCCACTCCTTCACCAGGCACCTCCAGGAGGAGCTGGGCCCTGACTCCCCTTTAGCTGAAACAATGTGAGGCTGTGGTCCAAAAGGGAGAAAATAGACCATTTACACGTCGGGCCTGTTATGTCTATTTTCACAACAGCAGTATATACATGGTATGGCAGTTATCTTTTACTTCATGGGGAACAAACATACAAAAAAACACAGCCATTTATTTAAATACCAATTCTGTGGATCCAGCAAGTGATTTTTCTGTTGGTCTGTGCTGGACTCACTCATGCGTCTGTGGTCAACTGATGACCAATGGCCTCACTTACATGTCTTGCTGTTGTTTAATTATCAGGTGGAGTGATGTAGGTAATTGAACCACAGGTCCCTCATCCTCCAGCAAGCTAGTCTGGGCTTCTTCACATAGAGGTGATCACAAGATTCCCAAGAGTAGAAACAATAGAAGCTTTCAGACCTTCTGAAGGCTTAGATCATGTACATTATTGTCTCTGTCACATTCTATTGGTCAAAGCAAGCCACAAGGCCATCCCAGATTCAAGGAGTGGGGAAATAGGCTTGATTTCTTAATGAGAGAAGATGCCCCACATTGAAGCCATTTTTGCTATCTATTACACATGGTTTGCCTTGTCCCCAACCCCATATACACACTTAAATAATGGGCAATTCACAAAAATCTTGGTGTGTTGACTAATATAACAAACTGTGGGGAAAACAAAATGCAAAAGCAACAAAAACAAACCTCCTTAAAAACAAAAACCCTGTAATCTTTTTAGTTGATATTCACCATCACATAATAATTTCCTAAGAGATTATTATTTTTTTCAAATAATAGAGCTGTTTATTTGGGAAAAACAACAGTTAGTAAATAGCTTGGCGTATGGAATGCTATCATGCTAGGTCATTAGGGAGTGCATGTGCACGCATTTGCATGTGGGTACGTATGTATGCATAAAGTGTCTGTAGATATACTCAACAGGTGAAGAATGATGTTAGAGGATGGATACAAATAGAAATATTTTTCCTTTCTCTCTCTCTCCATATAGCTATATATCTATATATGTCTATATATGTCTATATATGTGTATATGTAAACATATATAGACACATATATATATACACATATATAATGTTTAATTTTCCTTCAAAGAGCAAATATCAATGTAAAGGAAATTATTATTTTTTTTATAAAGATACCCTACCTGCTTGTATTAATAGTTCTGAAAACCCTTCTCAACAATGCTCTTTTCGCTTTGTTTGAATTTCTTAGTGTGCGATAGTGACCTGGCTGCTTCAGAAAGAGAAGATCTGCGATCAGAGTTGGACCGTATAAAAAAATGTAAGCCTTCCCTCTCTTACTTCTCAGGCAGCTTGAAGTTTGGGAAGGTGGAAGGCAACACATATTTATGAAATACATATCATCATCTAGCACCTGGATAGTCGTTTCTTATATTCTGATCTCATGAACTCCTCACAACTTGTTGGTAGAAATGGAGGCAAAGAGAGATTGCATTACTTGCTCAACGCACCGAGCTGAGTGGCGGGGTGCAGTTTATGAATGGAAATCAGTCTGACTCCAGAGACCTGAGTCCTATAGTCTTTCCTATCAGTGTGCATATGTGTCAATGAAAAAGGGGCCCACGACGCTTGCCCGTTATTATGCTGGTGTTGAGACCTGACAATGGGCCTAACCTGTTCCTCCTTTGCCCTCCTGGCCTGGGGCAACAGTCTCAGATATTTCTGTTTATTCTCAAATTAATACTGGGGTAAAATTCAGAATTACAGATTATATATCTTCAGAGCTCTAATCCAAAAGGACAAAGGCCTTTGTGCCAGTCTGTCTCTTCAGATTAGGTTTGCCAGATTTAACAAATTAAAACAAACAAACAAAAAACAGGATACTCATTTACATATGAATTTTAGGTAAGCATTTTTTTTTCCCCCAGTATAAGTATGTGCCCAAAATTGCATGGCTCAAAACTGCATGGCAATACTTACAAAAAAAAAAAAAAAAGTTTACCTGAAATTCAAATTGAATTGGACATACTATATTTCATGTGGCAATTCTAGTCTAGAAGCCTTTATTCAGAAAAATACCTCGGGCTGGACTTAAAGACAAGCCAGTGTCACCCATATTTTCCCATTTTAGGGTTCATCTTCTCTCAGGGGAAACAAGTTGGGAAGAAGTTATTCTTGGCCAGTGGTAAACTGATGCCCTTTGCCGAAGTGAAAGCTCTGTGCGCCGAGGTCCAGGGCTCTGTGGCGACGCCCCTGGATGAGCGTGAGAACAAGGCCATCCAAAATATGGCCGCGGGAGGGGCCTTCCTGGGCATCACCGATGTGGAGACTGAAGGCCATTTTGTGGATCTGATGGGAAGGCCTGTGACCTACCAAAATTGGAACAGTAATGAGCCCAACAATGCTGACTCTGGGGAAGACTGTGTGATTATCCTGAGAGGTGGCAAGTGGAATGACGTGTCCTGCTCATCCTCCTCTTTTGCAGTGTGCGAGTTCCCTGTCTGAGGGGGCATGTCCCTCAGCCCCACACCCCTACGCCCCGTCCCTTTACCTCATCTCAGGCCCACAGTCTGCTTTGAAAGATAAATCTGTATCCATTTTCCCATAGCCAGTATTGATTTTGCCCTTTGTGGAGAATCAGAGGCAATGAGAATAGATTGAATGATTAGATGTGGAACGTGAGAATTGAGAAGAAACTGACAGGGGTACAATGAAAGTTTCTGGTTCAGACCCAGTCACTGATAATAATCACTAACAGCAACTACCACCAAATCGTATCAGCAGTAGTAACTAGTAGCAACAATAGTAGTAGTACTGATAATATATATTTAATGTTTACTGTGAATCAGACCCTATGTATATTATGTATCTTATATTATCTATGGTATCCAAGTAATTTATGTAACATTAGTATAATTTATATAGTTTAACTAGGTTATGCACTTTTGTTTGAGTAATGTTAATTTGCTAAGGTTTAAAAATAAAATGGATTTCTTTTTCCCAATTACTATAAACACCTGTGTTCTGTTGAGCCTTCCTTTCTCTACGGGTAGAGGGCTTCACTGACATCCCTTAGCCTACCCATAGCTTTTCGGCTTGTCTCAGGTATTATGAGGATCTGTTTTGTTGCTTCCTCTATGAACTATATTTTATTTATAAATGAAATACTAAACTATGTAAAGAACATAAATCTCAAGTGAACTGATTAACGGATTTTCACATATGTACAATTCTCGTATGCACACATGTAACCACCTTCTAGACCAGGGGTCGGCAAACTGCGGTTCGCAAGCCACATGTGGCTCTTTGGGTACGTGCCATCTCAAAAGCTTGCTGACTCATTAGATCAAGATGCAGGATGTTTCTAGCTTCCTAGAAGCCCCATCATAACACCTCCTAGTTGATATTCCCAAGGCAAATACTATTCCAACCTCTATTACCATACATTAATTTTGTCTATTTATGAACTTCCTATAGACAGAATCATACATACATACATACATACACACTGTTTTATGTCTTGCCTTTTTCATCCAAAATTAAGCCTTTGAGATTCATTCATGTTGTTACATGTAGCAATATGTTTCATTTTCACTGCCTTGTAAGGGCCCAGTATATAAATACATCTCAGTTTATCCACTCTGTTGTTAATAGACCATTGGACTGCTTCCAATTTTTGACCATTAAGAAAATATCTCATGAAAATTTCTGCAGTTGTCATTTGGTAGACTTATGCACTAATTTCTCTTGGTCATCTATCCAGGGCTAGAATTTGTGGATCATACAGTAAGTATGTGTTTAGCTTTCCAAAGTGATCATGTGAGTTTACACTCCCACTAGCAATGTGTGTCAGTTCTAGTTGCTGTACCTACTTGTAAAGAGTTGATATTTTTTAGTCCTTTTTAAAAAAAATTTTATTATTAGTTTCAGGTGTACAGAACAATGCAATAGTTATGCTTTTCACCCCTCACAATGTAACAACCCTCCTCCCCCATCCACTGCCCTCCCACCCCCAATATCATACTTATCTATTACAATTCCATTGACTCCATTCCCACACTCTACTCCACCTCCTGTGACTATATGTATATATAATTATAGTTGACATACAATATTATTCAACATCAGCTTCAGATATACTGTGCGGTGGTCAGGCCTCTACACCAACTATGAAGTGGTCTCCCTAACAAGACATGAGTTCAACTGGCCCAATAAAAAATATTTACAACATATGGATGGAAATAGAGGATATTTTTTAGTCCTTTTAATTTTGTCCATTCTTGTGGGTATAAAATAATATTTCACCACGGCTTTACTCTTTGTTTCCCTGACATGTAGTAATGTTGAATACTTTTTCATATGCTTAGTGGGTACTTGGGTATTTTCTTTGGTGAAGTGCCTATTCAAGTCTTTTCTATTTCGTTTAAATTAAGTAGCCAGCATCATTTTTATCGATTTGTAAGTTATTTTTATATTCTAAATATGAGTCCTTTTCATTTACATGTATCACAAATGCTTTTCAAGTTTGTGACTTGTTCCCAGTATTGACTTTTGATAAACAAAAGTTCTTAATTTTAACAAAGTCCTATTTATCAATATTTCCCTTCATATTTAGCACTATTTTGTGCTGTTTAAGAAATCTTTGGGCCGGCCGAGTGGCGCGATGGTTAAGAACTCGCTTGGGATGCCAGAGGGCCCCGGTTCGGATCCCACATATGAGGGCCAGTGACACT